TATATAATTCTTTTAAATTTTGAAAGTAACACATACCTGGAAACTTGCCCCCAAACCTATCTTCATTCCCTTCCATTTAACAAATAGTATCATTTGTTTAGTTAACAAATGAAGATGTCGCGTCTTGCGACTGCACCTCTCTTACCACAAAGATACTTCACAAATGAAGATGTTACGTCTTGCGACTGCACCTCTCTTACCACAAAGATACTTCATGTGAAAACAAAAAATGGAGATTATATGCACTGGGAAATGAAGAAAACAGAAAAAAAAAGAAAACAGAACCTTTAAAATTCGGTTCACAATACTACACAGTTCAATGAACTTAACCTCGTAAGGAAGGCAAACCTGAATTCTAACCTCATATTTTGTATACTGACACATTATTAAAGAGAATAATGAATTTTTATCATCGTGTGGTTTATCATAAGAGTTGTAAATTTGATGAAGCCTCAAACCAAAACCTGCAAGAATCTCCCCTACAAATAATATCAAGACTAAACAAGAAGATATAACACAAGATATACATATTTGACATATACAGACACAAAAAACATATATTTTACATATACATGGCAAATACTAAAGGAAAGGAAAAAGAATATAAAAAGTGCATTTGTCCTGTGAACATACAGAAACAGAGACAGAAACAGAAAGCAAACACCTACCCATTTTTTTGAAGATTTTTCGATTAGACTATGAAATTGGTCATTCTTGTCAACATACAACACAAAGTAACCCAGAATTCTGGGGAGAAATGGTATGGGCTAGACAATTGTAACATCACCACCAAACTAACCTTGGAAAAGTCATATCTTTTATTTATTTATTTATTTATTTATTTTTGCCAAAAAAGTCGTGTGCTCTCTATCTCGCCCATGAAACAAAACTATATTCATGTTCTAATTAACAAATGTTGCCATGTTGTTATGTTTTCCAAAACTCTTTAATATAATAAATTAAAAATAATATTCATACAACTTAGATGATTTTTCAGGCGAGACATCAGCAGGACCGATCATAAAAGAATAATTATATGCAATCACACTAACACTTTATAAGAAATTATGGTAGACCTGAAAGCATTGAGACATTAAAACAGAATTGTCATTAGATGTCATTATTTAGAACTAAAAGCACAATAGGCACAATAGAGTAACTTGATAGGTAATTTATCAGAATCTTACCCCAAATAAACAGAAGCTCCCCCAGCTACAACGACTCAATTATGTACAAAACAACCTGTAAAGGATGAAAGACTCGGTTGAGAAAACAAAGAAATAAAAACCAACAAAATGAAGGCTTAAATGAAGCTATGAGGAATTTCAAGTTGTCGATCCTCACACTCATAAAGCAGATCCATAGCATCCTACAAGCTAAAAGAATCAATTGAAATCATAAAGAGAGTAAAACACAATTAACTAAATAAGTGTACCATTAATAAACAATTCTAACCATAAATTTACACAACCAAGAACTTCTGATAAAGGACAGAGCCACTAAATGAACAAAAGAGAACTCACCAATTTCAATAATTGCTTGCTCTGGAGCTTCTCCATTTGAAATTTATGAGTTTGAGCACGGGATCAACTTCATCATCTCGTGCTTCATCTCTGCCTGGTTAAGGAGCTGCGGTGGCGGCTAGGGAATTGAATACAGAGTGCACCAGATTGCCGGCCTCCAGCATCTGTGGGTCAAGGAATGGGATGGGTGCAAGATTAACTTTCTAGCATCGGCCCCAAATAAACTTGTTTCCTACAATCCCTGCACCCTAATCGAAGGTTTTAGTTCAAGAATGTTGCCTGCTATTATATGGATGAGAGGACAGGCTAAGAAAATCTATAGAAATCTTCAGAGGTTAGGCGTTATAAAAGAAAATTAACTTAAAGCTATATTTTGGGATGTTCTGTCAGACTACTGACCCAGGTTTTACATAATGCTTTTTATTAATTCAATAGATGGGCATTGAGGATGTTGAACATGATTGGAAAGCATAGAAACAAACATTTTTTAGCATATCAAA